ATCAGATTAATTATACTTTACATTAACTAATAATCCTCAAATAAAGATTTAGCAAAGTATATGTTATTTCGGGAAGATTATTTAATAAGGAGAATTGCATTGCGACGAAGAAAACTAAAAATGGCGGTAATCTGCTATTTTAGAAAAAGAAACAGTTTTTCAGTCAATTTATATTAGTTTTTGAAATGGAGAAAAGTATTTTGCTTATTAGAAATATTAAATTTAATCCTTTAGATTCCTATTTAAACTAAAATAAAACCTTCAAGAAAGTTTTCATTTAAAAAAAAATCATTTTAAAACTTAGGTATCGCATTTACTATGGTGGTAACTAATAAAATGCAATTGTAAATTATTTTGGGCGGAGTAAATTTTACAACTAACCATGCCTTTATTTACATTATTCGGACTATTGTCCTCATCTTTGTCGCCATATTTATTACAACGTTTCGGCCGTTGTACGCTCGGGCCTTCTTCACTGGTTGGAATGTCGAACCAAATCCTTTATTTCGCTCACTGGGGTAGACTGTTCAAGTTCCACGCTCCTAATGGACGTCAGTTATCAGTTATCTCCTGTTAATTTCCCTGTGAAAGGTCTCCACTGCCTTAACCGGTTATTGAACTCACACTCCTCGGGTCCTGTCAGTGGATCTAACCAACGCCTTTATCCACCGTGCCATGTGTTCTCAAGGACACATGGCACGGTGGATAAAGATACTAACCATGCCTTTATTTATTTTTTTAAAAATCAGATCACCCCTAGCAAAGCGGGAGTCTCACCAGCAGGCGAGGGGTTACAGAAAGTGTGGGCAAGAGGGGTGTTTGACGAAAGGATAAAGAAGAGGACAGGGATAAAGATCAAGGTATCATAAGATGGCGATTGATATTACATTTGAATATTTGAAGATTATAGCTACCCGGAAGGCAAGTAAGGGGAAGGTAGTTTCAGTGTCGGGAAGTGCGAGACAAGAAGCTTTTGGAGTAAAAGCGACAACTACATTTAACCGTTTCGACAGGAAAATTACAGGGATGCCAAACTAGTAGCACGTTTAATTTCACGCAGATGCGAAGCCAGACGAGATGCCAGATCAGGACCTACACATTGCATATCCGTCTCTGGATTTTGTTGAGGATATCGAGATGAACAGTGGATCCACCAGGGCACATATGCCATGACGATTTTTTATTTTAAAGTATGAACGTGAAACGAACAGATTAGGCAATTCTATTTCACTATCAATTACTCTTGTTCATTTCTTCTCGTGTCTAATTTATAAATAAAACTTACGTTGGGATTTTTTCTTTTTATTTAAATCAAGCAACACACGGACGAAACAAAAATGACAGTCCGCCCTTGCTGCATGAAAATTTCCAAGTAACGACAAATCCGTATATACGAGACGCGGAAGCGAAAATTTAAAATATCTTTCCTTGGTCGGGTCGAGAACATTTCTGTAGACATTCGAGTGTATATTTGTTCTTTGCTGGATGTTTTGTTTCTATTCCGGAATGAAAGAATGACAGTTGTACCAAAGTAATTTATTTCAATCTAAAATCCAATTAATAAATTAAGGTGGTGTACCATGCTTGTGTTTGTGGACGCAACATTCACGCCTTTTGATGAGATTGGCGGGAAATGGAAGCGCGGAAGCTTAGATGAATTCAAAATGAATTGTGGCTGCCACAAAAGATCAATCAAGAAAAATATGAACGAAATAAAGCAAGAGAGAGAGAGAGAGAGAGAGAGAGAGAGAGAGAGATGTGTGCGTGTGTGATAGAGACTTTTAGGACGAATCAGAAATGTTAAAATGTGTGCGTGTATGTGCAGTTGGGTTGATATTAATTTAGGTAAGGAAGCAGGCCATTATAATAGTGACGCATCAACGTCCTCTAGACTTACAATTTTTCTTTCGATTTCTTGTCTTATTTGGTATTCAAATGTTAAAGATGACACTTTCGTCGTTAAATTTGGACCCAAGCACTTTTATGCACACACACACACATACCCGCAAAAAGATATTATATATATATATATATATATATATATATATATATATATAGGCAGCACTTTTTCAATTATGCAGGTTTCATTAAATAATATAGACAAGTTTTGTCTATTTATTGTAAGTAAGTTCCTTTCATATTGTCTGATAAGCTTGATCACATTATCGTTGAAAGAAAAAAGGAAAACACCATATTGATACATGTTTAAATCCAACTTAAGCTTTCGGCTTGCACAAGCCATTATCAAAGATGACAATTTCAATAAATCAAGCAACACATGGACGAAACAACAATGATAGTCCGCCCTTGCTGCATGAAAATTTCCAAGTAATGACAAACCCGTATATACGAGACGCGGAAGCGAAAATCGCGTCGCAGCTCGTGACGTCACACATGACCAGGCGTGAGTGAAAGGAACTTACTTTAAATAAATAGACAAAATATATATTGAGCACCTCGAGGCGGTGTAAGCAAGCTTGTCTCGCTAGAACATTTACAACAGAGTAATGAGTTCTATCTTCACAGGTCGCCCCATACTTTCGGCGTTGTGCCACATCTAAGCTACGCTTGTAAAATCTTTATATATATATATATATATATATATATATATATATATATATATATATATATATGAACGAACTAATCGGACTAGGTTGCTGAAGCCCTAAAAGTCGAAACGCGTCACATGAAAACTTTTTCCACTTTGTTATATATATTTCCTCCAAAACTGTTCCTGATATATAAAAATGAATAAACCGTTATACCATACATAAATACATACATATGTGTGTGTGTATGTTTGTAACAATTTATATAAGTGCGTATATATATTTCTCTTTCTATCCTGCTCTCTCGCATTCACTTGTTGGGGATTCGGTTTTATCCGACATCTTTTATAAACCAAAATGTCTAAATTCGCGTTTTCTCTTGAATTGAGAGGAATGGATATTAACGATTTTAGCTGTTAAAATATCAGTGCTCATAACACTGCAAAGAGTTCTTCGTATTCAGTCACGTCGTATTTTAATATAAGCATTATTCCTCGAGATTCCTGACCAATATGAATCGATTCGCTGAAAGATGATACTCTTTTTGAAAAAAAAGGTGCAAAGAAAGGATTTATTGCTGGAGGCCAATCAGACATCCCCGCTACGAAAACAGAACTAAATACCAACACAGCTAAAGAGTTAGGGGAAAAAAAATTCCCTATTCAATTTATCATTTTTACCTCTTTCTAGTTTTCATATACACTCACAATTTTTCCTTCATTTTTTTTTTCCTTCCC